CAGGGCCGCGCGGATGGCGTTCAGCCTTAGAACCAAGTGTATTCACAAGCCGGCTACAAAAAGAATTATCCTTTACTACAAAAAGGGTTTATTCTTCTCATTCGGATACGATCCTCGTATACCGGAGAGCTGTCGCCTTCCCAGAGGACTACACACCGGCACGCCGCATAAGGATAACCAGCGCTCCGCCGGAGCTCAGGCGGCACCCTGTTGAACCCGACACTATTACGGCACCAGCTAACTGAAAATAAAGGGCCGGCCTCGTTTGGTGTTTTCCAGCCCCGCCCAGGATAAAGCCTGCGCCGCCGCCTCTCCTGAAGGCCGCCGTCGGTCAGTCCGTTACCCTGGCCTGTGCGGCCCAGGGGGAGCCCTCCCCCGCGGTCAGCTGGTCCTGGAACGGGGAGCCCCTGCGGGACCGAGGCAGCCTGGAGGGGCCGGGGGGGTCCCTCAGCCTTCGCGGGGTCAACCATTCCGACGGGGGAGTGTACCGCTGTGTGGCGGCCAACAGCGCCGGGCAGGATGCCGCGGAGACGCTGCTGGAGATCCTGGGTGAGGGCAGGTGGGGGTGAGGCCTGGGCGCAGGAAACAGGCAAGGGGAACGCAGTGGGGTAGGCCAGCAGTGATGTTCGTGTGAGCTGACCAGCCCATGAAGGTCATTCTGTACATGGGGTATTAACCACTGGGGTATTCATCAAAATCGACCCTTTTGTTGAACCAAGTAAACTTACTTGGGTCCGCTGATGTGTCCTTTGTTAGTAGCAGATAAAGGTTAATTGGATCCCTAGCGCGGCACTTGGCATTTGTGATAAAGCCCATTTAGGCCGCTGATTGATGGCTGTGTGGAAGGCAGGGCTCCAGGTATTGATCTGGAACAGGAGCCCGGTGCTGCCTGCAGCCCTGCAGGCCTGTCGGTCTGGAGCAGTGGGGGGCCCACGCTGGGCCCCGCCAAGCCGTGCGCTGACCCCTGCCGTGTCTTCACAGAGGCCCCGCTCTTCGAGGAGGCTGGAGACGTCTTCGTGCAGGAGGCGGCCGGGAAGAAGGTGGTCGTGCCTTGCCGCGCTCAAGGTGAGCAAAGAGCGGGCCTTGGCCGTCACAGTGGGCCGTCACAGTGGGCTCTTAACGACTCTGAACTTTGGCCAGTAACCCGATTCATATTTATCGCGCTGGAGAAGAAAACGTTATATGTCTCTGTAGATTGGGATCAGTGGAAAAGATGGGCAATGCAGCCTAGCACAACCTAGCAGATTTCCAGAGCTTCTGCTGGTCAAGGTGTGTGTGGCAGGCCAGCAGTGATGTTCGTGTGAGCTGACCAGCCCATGAAGGCCATTCTGTACATACTGTAGGTCCACACGGGGGTGGATCAGGTAATTGAACTGGATAACTGGCGAACGGCGAGAGTCACGTTCTCCCAGGGGTTTCACTTAGCCGGGGCAGGGTATATAAAGTGATTCATGGCGATAGCTGCTGTGGGGTTGTTAGATCGGGTGTTTATTTTGTTGTATTTAAAGGGGGAGAATCATCAGAAGCTCCCTTAAATTTGCCCCAGCCTGTCCTGGTGAAGATAATTCAAGACGGGTCCGGGTGCAAACGCTGAAATCTGACAACACGCAGGGAGTAGTTTTCTGTTTTTGTTCAGCCCTAGTTTAATGGATCACTCGGGGGACAAAAACAGGACACCCCACCGCATCTGACTGACTGCAGTCCTTGCTGTTTATCGCTTGGTCACAGCACTGCCGTGTTCTCCCTCCTAAACTCTCGCGCCGGCTTCATCGTTGTCCCTCTGCGTACAGCTACACTGCTTCCGCTAGCAGAGACATCCCAGCACGCTGCGAGACCCCCCCCGCCTCCTCCAGAAAGACCAGGCTCTTCACTCAGTGAGCCTGACGTCTGAGCTGTCATTTTTACTGGAAGGCGGCTGATGGTCTGTTAAGTCATAATCAAACACCCACACACAGAGGGTGAAGTAAGAGCGTCGCCTTCCTGGATAAGTAGCGTGTGGATGGAATTTTGCATCGGGGAGCCCCCTCCAAGAACAGCAGCTGGGACATCAGCTCACCTCCTTGCACATCTGGCCACATCTGGTTCCCTCAGCGCAGGGAAGCCTGCAGGGAATGGAATTCTAATTACAGGCTGTTAGTTTGAGATAATAGACCGTAATGTCTGGGACTGCTGCTAAGTGGTGTTTGTGCAGAACCCCCCCTCCCTCCACACACATACACAAACACGCACACACACTTTCCCTTTAACTGCACTTAGGACAGGCTTTGTGTTCACTGAGTGGGCTTTGTTACACAGCTGCTAGGAAATGCTGGCACACCCTTTGCCGAAAGAAAGGGGTCTGCAAGTGCAAAACACACATCAGAAAAGCACAGTGGTGTTTTAGGACTTAGGTGAGCTAATACGCTTTTTTTCCGGGCTTATTACAACCTTGTCATTAACCCTCGCTGGCAGCTCTCAGAGAGGCGTGGAGATTGTTGTGTGTGTGTGTGTTATTTTAACAACCTGAATCAGCTCGTTACTGGCATAAAAGAACCAATTTAGCAGCTCCTCACAGCTCTTCAGGTACTGTGCTGTTTTTTTTTTAATTGTTGCATCGCTTGCAAAACATCCCCAGACAAAATGTGTAATGTACCTCTTTATTTATTCAAGGCTGTTATGTTACTGCGATCCCCTCGTATGAGTAATAAAAACCGTTGAAGATGTTAAGAGCAGAATCTAACCAGACCCCCCCCCCGGTGTTCCACTGTGCCTCTCTGGCCCCTTTTCAAGTCAAGAAAGCCATTAATCTGTTTTTCCAGAGTGATTCCTCTGCTGTTCAGATCTGTCCCAGTGAAGGCTCAGCACAAAGCCATGTGTCCTGCTGGCCTTAATGAGAAATCCTGGGTGTCTCCGACTCTCAGCTGCCTACTAATTAGCTGACGGGGTTTGGGAAACCGTCGTTAAAGGAAAAAAAGTCTGACACCCTCCAAGCTGTTTCCCCTTTTATAGTTCCTGACAAGCTTCCCTGGAGGTGGAGGAATTCACATCCCTGTAGGAACTGATGCCGCCCTGCTTTCCCGTCTCTGTTCCTTTCTATTCAACGCCTGTGTCTGGAGCGGTAAATCCCTCTTCTAGAGCTTGAAGAAACCTTTAAACCAGATGTCCTCAGACCATGCTGCACGCGGCATCTGCACAGCGGATTTGTTATCTCGGGGGGTCACACCGCGGCCCGAGAAGGGTAATAGCCCTCCGCGGTGGCTCGACGGGCTCTCCCTGTGACCACAGGAATACACGAACCCGGAATTCTGTTTCGGGAGTGAAGCCCGCCCGGACTTTTCACACGGAGAGATGCCATCGCAGTATCAAGCCCGGTTAAGAAAATCCCAGTTCCCGCCGGGACTCGCTAGTCTCTCTGCAGTGACACCCCGAATCCGCCCAAGGGGTCTCACTGTTAAGGGGAACAGCGGCCTTTTATTCCTGCTGGTCAGTGCCAGGCCAGGCCTCGGTGTGGACCACCGAGCGCAGGTGACCCTGATTCCCGGGTGCTTTCCTCCCCCCCCGCAGGTACGCCCGCCCCCGCGGTGCGCTGGCTTAAAAACGGTCTGGAGTTTCACGGGGGCCAGCCGGGAGGGGCGTCCGTGTCCGAGGAGGGCTCCCTGGTGATCGCCTCGGCCTCGGCCAGCCACAGCGGGGACTACAAGTGTGTGGCCAGCAATGAGGTGGGCACGGCGGAGAGGAGGGTCCAGCTGAGGATAAACGGTGAGTGGCACCGTCGCCCCTGCTGCGTCCCCCAAAAGAAAGAAAGTCCCCCTCAACGCCGTAGCAGAATCTGTACCTTTGAACCTCCCACCTCTGTGCGATTTACCCAAACCTCACCCAGGCTCCTCTTCTCCGTTGACTGGTTTCTGTTTGGCTCTTCCTGAACCACGCGTGCACTTCCCGAGCGAGGGAGATCTGAAAGCTTGTTGCCCCAGACCGAGCCATCTCTCTAAGGTGTTATCACTCTTTCTTTTGACCCAAGAAAGAAAACCTGCACTGGACGCGGCTGTAGAGTTTCACACAAAATCTTGTTCCTCTGAGCGCTTTGTTCGTTTCGGTGAACTGAACTAAGAGCTTTTAGAGTGACACGAGTCTCCCCCCCCGCCCTTCTCTCAGTCCCCCCAGAGATCCACGAGGACGGGCAGCCCCTGAACCGGACGGTCGCCCTGCTGCAGCCCCTCTCGCTGGGCTGTGATGCTTTCGGGGTGCCCCAGCCCACCATCTCCTGGACCAAAGATGGACGTCCGGTGAGGGTCACCGCCCACGTTCTCTCAATCTTAACAAAACTGCACTGATGCTCTGCCACTAGGCAATTGAATGAGATCACTATACTGTAGAGTTATAGGTATCAAAATCTCAATCTACTGTACATGGATGCACTGCACCACTGAATAGAGTATATAGTGCTGTGTTATTGAATTTAAACAGTGTAGCATTTGAAATTTAAAAAATACTTGCAGTTGTGGTTGAGCCCTTCTGTGGTTGGCTGCTTTGACATTTGGCTCTGCGAAGTGAAGTGAACAGCTCTCGGAGCCAACCTGACGTTGTTTGAGGAAGACAAGCAGCTCGGGCTCCTGTACTGGCACATAACTCTCAGTGGTGGACCTAAGATCACTTTATCAGCCCTACACAATTTCTTGCATTAGGAATTTGTCTGTGCGCAGACCCCAACTTGCTCTCCATGAGACACACAGACAGGGAGAGAAGCTGGGGGTCAGAGCGCAGGGTCAGCCATTTATACAGCACCCCTGGAGCAGCTGGGGTGAAGGGAGTTAACAGAGTAGGATTCCTCTGCCGGCTGGGGGATACGAACCAGCAACCTTCCAGCCACAGTCTTAGGAATAAACACACCGCACTATGGTCTGGCTATGGTGCATATAGTATAAGAGGCAAGTGTTTCATCTGCCTTTGTGTATCTGTTATTATACTGTGACTTAACACACGTTTACTGTTGTTTCATTATCTCCACGGTAAAACACCTTTACATGTCTGGGTATGAAAAGTACTATACACAGTAAAATGGTAAATTGTAATTTCCTTCAGGGACGCAGAAAACAGTGTTGTTAGTATCTGGCACCACGGTGCCACCTTGTGTTACAGAACTACTTTACACCAGGAAAGAGGAATCTGTCAGATTCCTGCTTCCCTGCGATCTGGCTTTGAAGTGGACTGGAAAACTTGGACTGTTGCGGAACATCCAACCAAATTTTTCCTGAAATCGAGAGTGTCGTAGAGAAAACAAACGCAGCAGAAAAAAAACCCTTCACGACATAACCATGACTTCGCGACATAAAAACCTAAAAATACTTTCAGGTGACCGGAGACAAACTAGAGGCAGTGGCAAACAAAACAATCTTAAATCTCAAATAAAAAATCTCACAAAACTAATCTTAAATTGACCTGGGAAGTGTTAATTAAAGAGCTGTGCTGTTTTTTTCTACAGTATTGTATTTTTGTTTTCCAGGGCAACATACACGGCTTGCAGTGCTACAGTATAGGTTAGCGTAGCAGTAACACGATGTCGTCACGTGTTACATAAGCTGAAAAGAGAAGAAAGAAAACACGACGTTTCGGCTGTGGACACCCAAAGAAGGCTCCACAGCCGAAACGTTGCGTTTTTCTCTCTTCTCTCTTCACCAGGGAATAAACCTATGACTTGTTCCTTTGCAGCCTACGCCTGCTGACACAGCTCCCCACCTGAACCGTGTTGTATGTGTGGTGGCCCGTGGTTTAATTGATGGGAATATTTGCCTGTTTATTTTTATTCCAAATTTATCAGCAATAGTTTAAAGGCGGCCTTCAACACACTGAACACGGAAAGGGGCCAAAAACTGGTTCAAGAGTTCAGGTGAACCCCATGATTAACTCGGAGCAGGGCCGGTTGCGCGGCTGAGAGCCGGGCTCGAACCCTGGGGGCCGCCGCTGTAATGTGTCCGAACTGCTCCGTGTCTGACGCTGGCTCTCTCCGCCGCGGTGCCCCCCCCCCCGCAGGTCTCGGAGCTCGCGGGGGTGTGGCTGCAGAACGAGGGGCGCTCTCTGCGGATCCTGCGGGCGCAGGCGGCGCACTCTGGCCTGTTCTCCTGCGCCGCCGCCAACGCCGCCGGGGAGGCCAGGAGGGACGTCCACGTCGCGGTGCACGGTGGGTCGCGCCGGGAGCACGGCCGGTCGGCTGGGCTGGGGTGGGGGTGCGCCGCACGTGGGGCAGTGGCTAAAAAATCAGGGTAGCATCTGTAACAATAATCTGTAATAACCTGTGTTATAAACGTTACATGTTAGGTGTTATACATATGCAATAGAGTGATGTGCAATGTTTTTCTTTTTTTTGTTGTTTGCATTCTGTATATTCTATTCCATGTCCGGGAGTGCTGTGTGTCCATAAAAAAATTCCCTCAGGGGACAGTAAAGATCTTATCTCGCCTGAGCAGTAACCTGCAAATTCACCTTCTAAAGCTTGACCGCCGGTACTCAGTGAGAAGATCTTTCCAGAGAATGGGTATGAAAATTAATGAACCACAAGCAGTAGGATACGGATGCTCGTGTGCAGGTCACTTTCAGGACGGCTCACTGATAAAACCAGCTTCTGCGTCACGTCATTGAGATAATTGTCGGATCATTCAAAAGTTAAAGTCATGGAGTGACATGAATATGAAGGCTGGTTATTTGAGTGACGGGGCCCCTAAGATGGAATTGCACCCGTTATAATTACTGTATAATAGGGCACAAAAACCGTAAGAAAGGTTACAAGACTGAGCCGGTGTTTGGGCCCATCTTGCCAATGTGATGGTTCTGCAGCTAAGTGCGTTTAAAAATGTTAGAAAATGTTTAAATGTTAGAACGGACAGCTCCCTGACTCCGTCTCCCTGTCTCGCCCTGTCTCTCCCTGTCCCCACTCTCCCCCCCGGCCCCCCTGCAGCCCCCCCAGTGATTTCGGGGTCCTCAGGAGTGCAGGATCTGGCGGTGGCCGTGGGGCAGGAAGTGGAGCTGCAGTGCCGGGTGGACGGGAGCCCCGCCCCCCTCGTGGAGTGGAGCCGGGACGGAGAGTGAGTGAGGCCGCGCGCGCCGATACCCTGCTCGGACCCGCGTCCTGCCACTGACACCTCCTCGCTGTGCGCTTCTTCCCCTACGGCCTCGTGCTCCGTCCTTTCAAATGCAGCTTCCACATGCCTATCGGAAGCGCGCGCTTGCAGCAGAACGGATCTCAGGATCATTCAATCCCTAGTCTCGCAAGTCGCTCTGGATCGGATGTAGTTGCCGAGAGCCTCATGACCTAAATTCGCACTGAGCTCCTGTTGCGTCTTGACCTCTGTCAGGCAGGGCCTTTCCCTAATGACAGTTAAGCGCAATCCGTTTTTTTGCATGCACTTTTCCCCAACAGCTACCGCCTCGTTCAGACCGAGCCCTTAGCTCTGTCTGATTCTGTACACGCTTGTCCACTCTCTCACCGTCGGTCCTCCCTCCCCCCGTCCACAGGGTGTTGTCTCGCGAAGGGGACCCCCACGTACAGTTCTCGGACCGGGGCCAGCTGGTCAGGGTGAAGTCGGTGAGGCTGAGGGACCAGGGTCTCTACCAGTGTCTGGCCACCAACAGCGCCGGCCGACAGAGCCGGCAGTTCAGGCTCGTTGTTCAGGGTGAGTTGCTTTCTCCCTGCTGTCCCGCGCCCTACAGCTCCCGTGCTCTGGGAACTTCCAGCAATCCAGCTTGTGGTTTGTTTGCTGCATGTTGAAATCGACACTGGATCCGTGCTGCACGTGGCAGTGGGACACAGATTCCACTCTGTTCGGAGAATGAACCTTGCGGCCAGGAGTTTTCAGTAGCATTGGTACAGTATGTCCTTGCCCACGGCGCTGCTGCCAGCGTTGCAAAACAAAACACTCGGAAATGTGGATCAGATGAGTGTTTAAATCCCAAAGTGAAGTACGGTAGGCTTTGGCCATGCATTATTGTGTTCTGGTTTGTTCAAAAACCTGGACCACTGGGAGACTCTTGAGGACCGAAGCCGAGACATCCATCATTGTCTCGACACGTTGAGCACGGATTAGACCGGATACACGCTTCGAAACCTATGCCGAGTGCAGGCGCTTGCTGTTAGTGCTCTCTGTGATCCAGCGTCTGGGCCGCGTCACCAGCTGACTGCGACCAGGATTGGCCTAACAAGTGGCTGTGTGCCACTGAGGCAACGTTTGGATGAGTTTGCCAGGGATCTCTTGCCCCTAAAGCAAACGGCAGCTCTGTGACCTGCTGGGTACCTGCTGGCCTGCAAACTGAGTGTTAAAAACTGGCGATTCCAAACCAGGTCTGTATCTGATAAGAACAGTTCCTGGCAAGTTCAGATTTTTCAAGAACGTGTCTTTTTCGCCTCTGCCCCTCTGTCTGTCTTGCTCGCCTTCGCTCCCAGCGCCCCCCAGCTTCGGCGGTTTCGGCGAGACCACGGAGGTTTCGGTGGTGCTGGGCCACGCCGCGGTCCTGTCCTGCGAGCCGGAGGCCGTGCCCAGCCCCAGCCTGACCTGGCTGAAGGACGGCCGCCCGATCCTGGCCGGCGCCCGCCTGAGCTCCTCCCGGGGGGGGCGGGAGCTCCACCTGGGGGCGGCGCGGGCGGACGACGCGGGCCTGTACACCTGCCGCGCCTCCAACCCCGCGGGCACCGCCCTCAGGCACTATCGCCTGACCGTGCTCGGTAAGGGAGACCGGCGCTCCAGCGCCCCCGTGTGGGCTCCGAGCAGAACCGCGAGGCACGTGCTGCAGGCGGGGCTCTCTCGTCCCCTACCAGTATTAATGTCACAGGATTAGTATATCGGTTTAGCTGCCGGTGTTATGAGAGTAATAAAACGGAGTGGACTGGAAGGCCCAAAATTGGAGTAGTTGCTACTTGTCCACTACTGTGGAAACTTGTCTTTGGCTTCTCCCATAAAAGTATAAAACACACAGGTGAAATACGTCACATAAAACTACATAAAGTCCTTGAAATCAGAACAGCAGAATGTAATACATGAGTAAATGGATAAATAAACAGGCAGCGGCGGGGCAGGGGGGGGTAGACCTGCTGTGCTCTGCTGACCAATAAATTGACGTCCTTTTTATCTCCACGATGAACAGGATCAAGCCGATTTTCACAGTTCGGTTACAGCGGGCAGCAGTATGCGTACAGAGCAAGAGTAAGCTACAGGAATTGATTTAGAAACTGGATGCTGCCACGAGCACGAGCGTATAATCTTTTTTTTGTAACGCCTGTACGAGCTTCAGCCGAAGCCGGCTGGTCTTGCCAAGAATTCCTGGGGGTTTCGTTTTGCCTGGAGAGCTTTTGGCAGGCTCTTCTTCCAACGGATCAGGCTATAGCTGCATCAAGCAGCCTCTCCCCCTTCTGCACTGGCTTAAGTAATTAAGTAATACTGCCAGCGAGGAAGGTGTCTTTCACAGGCTGTGTAATTCATGTCAAGCTCTGCACCGGCTTCTGTCTGGAAAAAAAAACTCAGCCTCTCCATTTCTTATTGTTTACGGCAGCATAACTGAATCAGAATGCTTGAGGTTTTGACAACATTTGATTTCCTGGGAAACGAGGCCCAGCGAGTCGGACTGGGTTTTAAAACAGGATTGGGCGTAATCAGATCAGAATTAAACCGGATTAGCTGATTGAGAACGAAGTCTTGTTTCTGTACCGTCGGCCTCTGCCGTGTCCATCCGTGAAGCTCCTCATCCAAGGGGTATGAGAGCAGCGTCCTGCCCAGCATTCGAACCCCGGTCCAGCACTGAGCCCTCAGCAATGTTCCACACACTGGGCCTCTTGCTGCGTTGCTCCTGCACTGCGTGGTCCAGACTCTCACACCGCTTCGTCGCCGGTCAGTCCCTCCGCAGATCGAGGGAGACGACGCAGCGTCCGTGAGGTTCGGCGCCAGGGAGGCCAAGGTCCACGTCAACAAGACTCTGGTGCTGTCCTGCCAGTCCAGGGGCGTCCCCGAGCCCACGGTGCAGTGGTATAAAAATGGCCAGGTGAGCGCTTGGATGTGTTTGCTGTTGATCACGTCCAACAGGTTGCCTAATCACCCTGAAACCATGACTGCTGTGTCATGAGTTTGATGTCATAATTAATTCCTTACACTTATATAGCGCTTTTTTGAATACTCCACTCCAAGCTTTTTACAGGTAATGGGGAATCCCACTACCGCCACCAATGTGTAACTGGATGATGCGACAGTTGCAATGGTGCACCAGTACGGATCTTCTATGTTTTCCAGGTTATTTAACGTATCTTCTCTCTGCAGGACCTGTAATCCTGATTATTCTCCAACTGGTGTTTTTTCTGTGATGTCGCAGAATCTGTGGAGGTCCGATCTGATGGTGAAAATCTGATCAGGGCTTTCGACTAGACGAGCACATGGCTTTATTGTTTAAAAAACAAGGGTTTTCACACAGGGGCTTTTCAGAAGTTCTCGACTTATTGAACCTAATTTTAATTAATGTACCTGGAGCAGGAGGTGCCCTAGCAAGGCGTACGGATCTGTAAAAGACAAGGAGCCACGGTGTTCTCCAGGAGAACCTCTGAGCTTTCTTCGGATGTCTCTGCAGCTGCTGAAGAACGACTCCCACGTGGAGATCGGGGAGCAGGGGCGGGCCCTGCGGATACAGAAGGCACTCCTCTCCCACGAGGGGCAGTACACTTGCGTGGCGTCCAGTGAGGCAGGAGAGGACAGGAAAGATGTCCACGTCAGTGTCCAAGGTCAGTGGGGCCCTAGAGAAGAGTGGTGGGCAGGCCTGGTCCCAGGAAGCTCCCCGATTGTCCTGTTTCGTCCTGTAACAAAAAA